TCTAAGCCTATAGCAGCATAACTAAGGGATGGCTCAGGAAACCCAAGCCAACCCTAACTATAGGATTTAGCTAAAAGGAAAGTCTTAAGCCTAGTTTTAAAACTGGATAATGTGTTAGCCTCACGACAGAGATTGGAAGTTGGTTCCACAAGAGAGGAGCCTGATAACTGAAAGATCTGCCTCCCATTCTGCTTTTGGAAACTCTAGGAACCACAAGTAAACCCATAGTCTGAGAGCGAAGTGCTCTTTTAGGAAAATATGGAACAATAAAATCTGTAATATAAGATGGAGCTAGGTTGTTGAGGGCTTTGTAGGTTAGAAGTAAGATTTTGAATTCAATTCTGGATTTGACAGGGAGCCATTAGAGAGAAACTAAAACTGGAGAGATATGATCTCTCCCAGTAACTCCAGTTAAGACTCTGGCAGCAGCATTTTGGATCAACTAAGACTTTTTAAAGAAGTATTTGGACGTCCAGATAATAAACCATTGCAATAGTCCAGTCTAGATGTGACAAATGCATGAACCAGATTTTCTGCATCATTTTTAGATAAGATGTTTCTAATGTTAGTGATATTATGCAGGTGGAAGAAGGAGGTTCTAGTAACATTTTTAATGTGGGGGTTAAAAGACATGTCCTGATGAAAAATAACACCAAGATTTTTAACATTAGAACTGGAGGCCAGATTAATGCCATCCAAGGATGGCGAAAAACCAAAAAATTAATTCCTCATATGCTCGAGTCCATATACCAAAACCTCAATATTGTCTGTATTCATAAGCAGAAAATTAAGGGTCATCCAGGAATTTGTTTTTAAGACATGCTTGTAACTTAAGTAACTGATTGGATTCATTGGGTTTCATACATAAATATAACTGCGTATCATCAGCACTGAGTCCAAGCACTGAGCCCTGAGGAACTCCATGACTAACGTTGGTGTATGAAGAAGATTCATTATTTATATTTACAAACTGGAATCTTATCAGCTAAATAATATTTAAACAATGTTAGAGCTGTTCCTGTAATCCCAATATCATATTCAAGTCTCTGTAATAGAATATTATGATCAACTGTATCAAATGCAGCACTGAGGTCTAACAGGACCAGAGACACAAGTCTGTTGTCTGAGGCCATGAGAATATCATTAGTGACTTTTACTAGTGCTGTTTCTGTGCTATGATGAGCTCTAAACCCTGACTGAAACTCTTCAAAACAGATTATTTCTTTGTGGATGTTCACGCAACTGACCTGCAACTCTTTTCTCTAGAATTTTTGAGATGAAAGTTAGATTAGATATAGGTCTATAGTTGGCCAGACTTTCTGAATCAAGGTCAGACGTCTTAAGTACAGGTAAAGGTTTAATTACAGCAACCTTAAAGTGCTGTGGTATGTAACCATTCATTAAAGACAAATTAAGTAAATCCAAAATGTGGACATTAATTAGGGGAAATACCTCTTTAAACAGTCTGGTTGGGATGGGATCTAGCAGGCATGTGGATGGTTTGGATGAGGTTATTATTTTTGACAATTCAGAGCTCAACAGGACAAAAACTGTCCAAACATAAATCAGACTCCAGCTACATCTTCAAAGCCACATCATCTGACAGGGAACCAGGGACAGCAGAAGGAAGGATGGTTTGAATTTTCTCTCTAATTGAAATAATTTTATTTATAAAGAATCTCATGAAGTCTTTACTGCTTATAGTTGTACGGATACATGGTTCAACAGAAGTGGGACTTTTAATTAGTCTAGCAATAGTACTAAACAGAAACCTAGGGTTATTTTTATTCTCATCTATTAAATATGAAAAATATAAAGTTCTAGCTTTACGGAGAGCTTTCTTATATGTTAGCAGACTATCTTTCCAAGTTAAATAAAATTCTTCAACATTAGTAGAGCGCCATTTTCTCTCCTGCTTTCTAGATGCCTGCTTTAAAGTACGTAACTCAGAATTGAACCAAGGAGCCAGTTTCCTCTGATTGATTACTTTCTTTTTCAGTGGAGCAATTTTATCAAGTGAAGTTTGCAATAAAGTTGTAAAATTATCAACAAGATCATCTAAGTCTCTGTTCTCTGATGCATTACTCTGCAAGACAGAGGAAAACATTGATGGAAGAGATTGTTTAAATTTTATTATAGTTTTTTTTCTGATAAGCACCTGCTGAGATGAAATTTACTCTCAGTGACTGTGTAGTCATTTAATGTAAACTCAAAGGTTATTAAAAATGGTCAGACAGGACAGGATTTTGATGATGTATTACTAAGTCCTTAATCTCTATGCCATAAGTCAGAACAAGGTCAAGAGTGTGATGATGAGTGTGAGTAGGTATTAGGACATTTTGGGTAAAACCAATTGACTATTAAATTATTAAAGGCTATGCTTAAGCTATCACTTTCTACATCTACATGAATATTGAAATCACCCATTATTATGACTTTTTCATTATTTATTTAGCAGTATTTCCAAGTCTCTTGTAAATGAGTCCTTGTGGCTCAATGGGACGAACCTGTTTAAATAAAGATTGAATGAATGAAAATTTAGTAGTAGATCAGTTAAGAATTCTGAGAATTCAGACAAAATCTGAGAGTAAGCGCCTGGTGGACGATATATAACAACTAGTAAAAGTGGCTTTTCTGATTTCCATTTTGGATGAGAAAGACTGAGGAACAGTGATTCAAAAGAATCATAACTAATAACTGATTTGGCATTAATCAATAATCCTGACTGAAAAATAGAAGCTACTCCTCCACCTCGGCCAGTTGTTCTAGGAACATGAACATTTAAATAATTAACAGGAGTGGATTCATTTATACTAACAAAATCCTCCTGTTGATTATTTAAAT